GAGCATCTGCCCTACCAGCTGCTCCAGCCCACGAGGCCATGGACTGCTCCAGTCCCCAGGAAGAAAATGGTTTTGGGCCCAGGCCCCAGGAGGCCAGTCCATGCCTTGCAGGTGCCTCTGAGGAAATGGAGGTAGAAGAAGAAAGACCAAGAGGCTTGCCTCCAGTTCCCTTCTCTGTGTCAGGCATAGGCCTGAAAACCCAGGGAGAGCAGGATGGGTGAGGGGGGTTAATCCTTGCCTCACCTAGGGGATGGGCCTTCAGCTGAAGCCATAGGGCCACCTTGGTGCACAGCCTTGACTCTTCCCAGAGCAGGCAGGTTAGGCCAAGCCAGGCTCAACTTTGGGGCTTCTAGTGCCCAATGGCTGTGTATGAGAGGGGAGGCAGCAGTGACAGGCCTTCCTGGTTGGGGTCAACAGCTGATACTAAGCCTCTGAAACCCAGCAAGCTCTGGCTCCCACCCGACTCCCCAGTGCACTTCTCCAGACAGGACCAGAGGACTCCTAGTTCTAGTTTGAACAGGCCGGCAGCTGTTACCCCAGGTTCTCTTACCCCAGGTCTGTCCCTTGCCCTTTCCCTGGGGCATATAAGCTACTGGATGGAACCTGAAGCTGACCAGGAAGCCCTTGGGCATGGCTATTTCTCAGACCTGAAGACTAGGGCGCTTCTTGCCAGTATGTCTAAGACACTTGAATAATTGCTGTTTGCACTTACTGCACGATCAAACCACGTCACTACATTTCTATGCAAGGGGAGGGCAAGGCAGCGTGGTGGTCATGGCTCTTAGCTAACCTATTCAAAGATCTCTTCCAGTTGATTAATCTATTTATGAAGGAGTCTTAATGTTCTGCCCTATAAGACTTTCAGCCTGGTGGTTGGGAGTGGGGGTGGTTTTGTAGGCCTAGGGCCTGCTCTATGTATTTGTCAACGTGATATACCCAATTGGTTAAATGGTTTGTACATGGACTGATTTTCTTCCCTTCCTGCTGGAGCTATGGGAACAGTCTGTCCTTTCAGAGCCGCAATAAGAAATAACCAAAGATGAAGCTAGTCAAATATTTTCATAACTTGTTTCTGTTGATTTTTTTTGTAAAACTTTCCCAAGACATTTTCAGATTTAAAAATAAAGTCGGTGTTACAGGTGCTGGTCTGCCAGTCTGCCTTCTTACTGATACCTTTATTCCTCAGCCTCTGGGGTAAAGGAGAAGGTCCAGGAGCGATGCAGCAGTCTCTGCCAGGACTACCCCCCAACTCCGTAGTAGGACTTTCACAGAAGAGGGACCCCAGACCTCTCTGTTCTACCCTCAGGTTCTCTTCCTAGGCCCTGAGTGCTAGGTAGAAGTTGGGTCAGCTGCTGCCCCAAGCCAGCTTCATCTTCTGGTTGTGGGCTTTGGAGGAACGGCAGAACTGGCTCTTGGCCACTGTGAGGGGTACAGCTTTGCCACTCAGGTATACCTTGTTGTGGCATTCAGGTAGCCAGGGTCTGGAGCTAAAGGGCTGGGGTCTTTGGCTCACTCCCACATAGGCCATCACATAACCTGTCATAAAGGCATCGAAACCAGCCCGATGCAGTCCATCCCCAGGCACTGCGTTAGGACTGGCTTGACTTCCTGGCACTTCTAAGGTAGCCATGTCAGCTGTTTCAGGTCTTCTTTTAAGTCCCATCTCCAAGTCATTTTTGTGACTTTGCTCAGAGCCAGGATGGTTCCTAGTCTTATCCTCAGCCACCTCCTGCTCAATCTCCTCAGCCTTGAGGCCATCTTCACAGACCTGCTTCATGGGAGGACCATCCTCAGCTTCCCCAGAGATCTGCTTCCCAGGCAGGCCCAATGAAGCCCTCTGCCGTTTTTCCCTACGTCGTCGCCGTCGCCGCTTGTCTTCCACCACAGCCTCATCAGTGTCAATTATAAGGTCAATATCATGGGACCGAGGACACTGTGATCCCAGGGGGCACCAGCCATAAGCCTAGAGATAGGAAAGAGGCTTAGAGGGGTTCCAGGCATCAGAACTCCCCTCCCCCAGGAAATGGATGGGTGTTCTCACCGAGAAGTTATCACAGACGCTGGTGGAATGAGGACGGTGGGTTGTGGGGGACATGCAGCAGCGGTAGTCAATATGGGCCCTCATACTAGAAGGGTAGCTGCAGAACTCCAGGGTAAGGTGTGGGCTGCCAGCTGCCCGCTGCTTCCCATTTTCCCGTTCACTGCAACGGCGCAAGAGGGTATTGGTCCACTAGCATACAAGCTCCATTAGAGCAGACCTTTTGTCTGTTTTGTTCACTGCTGACTCACTGCTGACTCCTCAGCACCTAAAACAGTGCCTGGCACGTGGTAGGTGCTCAATAACCTTAAGTGAATGAAATAGGCTTATACCAGGCCCCACCCCTTTCCCTCAACTAGTCCCTCACCATTTCCGGAAGGCATATTCTAGGTAGGAGGCCACGAAGCGGACATGAAATTCAGCAGCATATTTGGTGTCATAAATGCCAGCTGGGAACATTTCACAGAGGTCAGCAGTGAAGGTTCCCAAGCTCTCGGGCAGGTGTGCATAGAAGTTCTGGTACAGGAACACCAAGTCTATAAGACCATTGTGTAGAACCAGGGGCCGGCGGGCCCGGATTAGCTCCAGGAACAGTGTCCTCACTGACTGGCTCTGGCTCTCATCACCCTGGGTAGAAAGAAAGGGGTCATCGGGAATGACAGAATCCCCTAGGGAGCCTCTTTCACAGGACACTTATTTCAGGCTCCCCCACCTGGAAAGCTCTCCCTCCCTGCCTAACCAAATGCTATTCACCAATGTATTAGTCTTGTTTCCCCAGCCCTGTCACTAGTGATTTCCCATACTCCCTAAGAAGCAGATCCTCCCCATGCACCCAGCCTAGGGTAGGAAGAAATGAAGTCACAGAAGGTGCAGTCTCAGGGCTGGAGGCCTACCTTGTCATTGCCCTTGTGGTAGGGGATACCCTGGGCATACTGCCGGTTGAAGTTGAAGCCATGCTGTACCAGGAACTGCACAGACTTTGGTTCTATGACATACTCCTCCATGCACAGCAGGGTCAGATTGAACACCTGGGCCAGGTATGAGTGTTCACTCTGGGAGAGAAAGAGTGTCTGCTACATCAAGACTTGGAAGAAAAAAACCCTCACACCTGATGTTCCCCAGGATCTCAACCCTCCTCTCCCCAGCCACAGACCTGGATGGAGGTGAGATCAGCTCATACCTTGTCTGGCTGCTGCTTAAAGCAGGCGAGGCCCAGGGAGAGGATAGAACGGGTCCTGGCAGCATGACACACGGCCTTGTAACGTTCCTCGATGCACCTTGGGGTTGGGTTTGGGGGTGGCTGTGGCTGGGAGTTAGCCTCATGAAGCACCCAAACCACCCAGGCCTGTGACCTCTACTCCAGGGTTGAGGTCTGCCCCTCCTGCCAAGGCTGGGACTAAAGAGATCAGGACTTATACTTACTGATTCAGTAAACTCTTCCTGTCCCCAAGCCCACTCAGTTCCTATGGGTGGATAAAGGGAGAGTTGTATTAGGTCCCCAACACCAGCCCTTTCACAATCACCTGCCCTCCCCGTTCCTGAACCCTCACCGTGTCCACAGCCACGAAGCTAGCTGTCTTTATGGCCAGCAGGAGGGATGGCCACATCTCCTTGAAGTTGTCGCTTTGCACATCCACGACGGGAACCTGGACTACTAGCTCCTCCCCAGACTTTGTGCTTTTGCTGATACCACCTGGGGGTAAGGAGGGTGATGGATGTTAATGCTCAGGCAAGAGCCCAGGGGAACAGATACTAAGCTAGCCCATGGCTGGGGCAGGGTGGGGCTGGGGGTCAGTGTCCATTAAGGCAAAACCCGGCAGCTTTCCTCTCAAGCTTTTGTATCACACATGCTCTACACAAAGGCCTTAGAGTGAACAGTGCCTTGAATTTGGGGAGAGAAAGCCTGGGTCTTCCAGTGGCTTATGTGAGACTTGGGGAAAATTACTTCCCCCTCAGCATTACAATCCGTAGAACAGGAAGGTTGGACTAGATGATCTGTGAGGTTCCTTTTTCCAACATCCTGTAGGAAATATATATATATTTTTTGTGAGGAAGATCAGCCCTGAGCTAACATCCATGCTAATCCTCCTCTTTGTGCTGAGGAAGACCGGCTCTGAGCTAACATCTATTGCCAATCCTCCTCCTCTTTTTTTTTTAAGCCCCAGTAGATAGCTGTATGTCATAGTTGCACATCCTTCTTAGTTGCTGTATGTGCGACGCTGCCTCAGCATGGCCGGAGAAACCGTGCATCCGTGCGTGCCGGGGATCTGAAGCCCGGCCGCCAGTAGCGCAGCCGCCCACTTAGCCGCTAAGCCACTGGGCCGGCCCTGTACGAAACATTTTGCAGAACTTGAGGAGTTCAGCTTGCTTAATATCCCACAAGGCTCCATACTACTGTTCACAGGGTGCTCCAGCAGACACAAGCGGAAGTAGCCAGTATGGCCCGGAGTCTGATAAAGAAAGCCATACAACAGAGCTCCCAATACGTCACACTTCCTTTGGACCACAACTCCCAAACTGCCCCACTTAACAAAGCCATGAGCTCCAGACTACGTCTCCGGACATGCCCTGACTATGCTCCCAACGCTCCAGGCTTTTGCAGCCCGAGCCGCGGTGTACACCGGGACTTGTAGTCTTCTCGTGAATGGTTCAGAAAGAAGGAGCTAGTCCTCTAAAACTTGAGCTCAGTTTCTAGAAGTATGAGCCCGAAGCCTTCTCCTCCTCAGAGCGCACAGGCCTTTCAGGTAGCCCCCAGGAAGCCACTCACCGTCAGAGACCGCTGGAGCTGAGACTGCGCCATTGTCACTGTCGGCGGCCATGATACCGCGCGCCCCTCGCCTGAATAGTCTGTGGGTACGCGGGACTTCCGCTTCGTCTCGGGGCGCGACTCTTGCAGTCTGGGATGGGGGCGGGCCGTCGCCCTCGGAGTCGCCGATGGGTCGGACTTCCGTTCAGACCTCCCGGGTCTGGCGCGCAGGAGTCGGTCCGGCACGCACTGAGAACCTATTGGTTGGCGCGGTTCGGATCACCGCCCGGATTGGCCCGAGCCACGCCCCGGGAGTGCGTCTGGGAGCCGGGTGCAGGAGATTGAGCGGGAGGTAATTTCTTTGCCTGCACGATGGCGGGAACGTGGGCACTGACTTTACGCCGTATTCATCTACACGGCCCTCGGGTAGGGTGGGGGTCCCCAGAGGAGGTGGCGCTGCCTGAGCTAAGCTTAAAGTACGCAGAGGAGTTAAGCAAGGACAGGGCGGTGTGGGGCAAAGAAGGCTATTCTGGGAATGGGCAAGTTCCCCGGGAGGATGGAGAGCTCACCGCACTTCAGGAAGTGAAAGGCGAGGGAAGGGGCACGAGACGAGGCTGCAGAGGGGTTAGAGAGACCGACTAGCAGGGAAGCTTTTGAAATAATCCAGGCAAGTGATAATAAGGACTTGAATTAAGGCTCTGCAGTAGGAGCGGCGAGGAAGGGACAAATTGTAAGCAATCAGGTGGTATAGTTGACCTAGAGGGTGATTGGACATGACTCCTGCTGCCGTGAGACAGGTGTCCCTGCTGGAGACCATTCCTCTTCCAAGGGCTCCAGTTCCCATCCCCTCGGCTCACTAAGGACTCTCAACCCTTTCTTCTTGGTTATTCACTGCTTCTAGTTCATCTTCAACCTTTCTCTGTCTACTGAGTACTTTTCATCGTTATTCAGAATTGTTTGGATTTCTTCCATTCTAGAAAACCGAAAATTTCTTTTTACTATCCCTCATCCCATTAATTAATTTAACAAGTATTCATTGTATACAATTTACCTGGCACTGTGCTCAGCTCTGGGGACACAACAGTCAACAAAAGAGACCCAGCCCTTGCTCTCATGGAGTTTGACGGTCAAGTGAGGGAAGCGGACACTGATCAAAGAATCACAAATAAATGTGAAATTACAATTGGTATAAGAGAAACACTGGAGAAGTACATGAGAGGGTAAGACTGGGGGACCTGATTTGGACATTTAAGTCAAGACCTGAAGAATGAGTAGATGTTAGATAAAGCATAGGAGAAGAGCTGTCCAAGCAGAGGAAGTGGATTAAGTGAGGTCTCAAGGTGGACCGACTCTTGGGGATTGAAGCAACTCTTTCAGGCACACATGGCTGGAGCATAGTGAGCAAGAGGATGAGGCAAGCGGGCCTTTGGAGCCTATAAGGCTATATTAAGAGGATTGGCTTCTATCCAAGAGCAATGAGTGTGACGGCCCAAATCCTCCAGTGGCCTACAAGGTACTTTCTGATCCTGTGTTCCCCCACCTTCTTTACCTCTCAGACCTCATCTCCTACTATTCACCCCCTCCTCGTTCCTTTCTAACCATTCTGGCTTGTTCTACAAACACACCAGTCACCTTCCTTACGGCCTTTGCACTAGCTCCTTCTTAGGATGCCTTTCCCACAGGTATCCACATGGCTAACTCCTTCAGCAGCTTTGAGGCATTGGTCAAATATCATTTTAATAAAGCTCACCTTGACCACGTTCTTTAAAATTGCAATATTCCACCCCCCACCACTCCTTATCCCCTTCACCTCTATTTTCTTCTTAGCATTTATCACCTATTATCCTATATAATTTACTTATTATGTGTATTATTTATTGTCTGCCCCACTAGAATATAAGTCCCATGAGAGCAGGAAACTTTGATGTTTTATTTACTGAAGTATTTCAAGTACCTAAAAATGCTTGACACATAGAAGGCAGTCCATAAATATTTGTTCAACAAATTAGTGGGAAGCCATTGAAGACTTTAAGTAAGAAAATGACATGATCATGTCTTAAAAGATTGCCTTACTCTTTGGAGAATGGATTGTAGAATGAATTATGGAAGTAGGAGAGTTTGGTGAAGGAGGTTTGGCTATGAAGGGGAAGAGAGTGGGTCATGCGGGAGGGATTGGAGGAGCAGGACCCTGAGCTCAGACAATTTAGGAGGAGGGACCATTCCTTCATATAATGGGGGAAAGGAGAAGGAAAGTACAGATGGAGGTAAGTTTGTGCATTCATTTTTTTCTCTCAAGGAGGAAGCAAACTTGATGACAATGAGGTGATGAAGTCAAAAGTTTGAGAAGAGAGTTTGAACCAGAGGCTCAGCAGGAACTGCAGTATAGCAGAGCCTAAGATTGCAGGATCTGGAGGCAGACATTTTGCATTTGAATGGACAAGTGGCTTAATCTCTACAAGCCTCAGTTTCCTCATAACTAAAATGGAAGTAATACAGTCATGTGCCACATAACGACATTTGGGTCAACGACAGACCTCATATACGATGGTGGTCCCATAAGATTAGTACCATATGGCCTAGGTGTGTAGTAGGCTACATACTGCCTAAGTTTGTGTAAGTACACTCTATGATGTTTGCACAACGATGAAATCACCTAACGCATATCTCAGAACATATCCCCATCATTAGGGGATGCATGATTCTACTAGAACGTACCTCATGGAGTCGTCAGGAGTTTGAGTGGGAGATCTGGTAAAGCACTTAGCATAGGGTCTGGCGTATAGTAAGCACTCACTAACTGTTAGCTACTTTAGCTGTTAGAGAAAAGGCAGCCAGAAGAACAGTAAGGGAGCAGTGAAGATCCACCAGATGTATTACTCATGGCCAGCCAGCTGTGATTTACTAGATCAAGAAAAGATTAGGAATAAAAATAGCTCATCTCTCTTCCACTTCTGACTTGCCATCTGCTCTCAGGCAAATCTTTTTCCCTCTCTGATCCTTGGTTTCTCCTTTCTATAGAATGAAGGTTTGACTAGATGACTGCTAACGGCTGTTTCAGTGTAAATGTGCTACATATCTAAGCAGAGAAACCTCCTACCCACCCCCATGCTCCTAGACACACCTAAAGAACTGCTGTCCACACACCCAGTCACAATAAGCATCAGGGATACACAGGTGCTCCCAAACAGGAGGCTTGATCCTTGACCCAGGCCAGCCCTGGCCTCTTATTTTGTTTGTCTCCAGGACTGTACTAGCACTGGTCACTCTGAGGCCACTTGCAGAAGCTCAGCTGCACTGATCGTACCTCAGTGCCACAGCCAGCCAAGAGCAAACCCATGAGCATCTGGAGAGTACTTGAGAAAAGCTAGACGCTCTATATGAATGGTTAGGGAGGGAGGTGGCTGTATCCCCTGCAGGGCCCCAAGATTTGGCCTCATTGTGACTGACTACTTTGGCTGGGCCTTTCTGTTCTAGGCCATCATGAAGAAACTACGAGCAGCTGTGGGAAGTCGTTGCAGGAAGCAGGCATCCAGCCAGGAGGGAAGGGAGATATGTGCCCTCAGCAGCAGCCAGGTCAAGCCTTCTGCCCCTAATGGTGAGGAGCTTGATGTTAGTCAAAGACTCAGGGGCTGGTTTTATTGGCCATGAAAGGGGGCACATTCAGGCTGGGAAGGGAACATGGTATGTATCAAGGCATTAAGGGACTAATTAAGGATCTGATTTGCTATGTGACTTTGGAATAATTGCTCTGAATGGCTGCTTTCTTACCAGTGAAATGGAGCAGTAGCCTATGCATTTCCTCCTTCCTCCTTCATGGAGTCAAATGATTTTATCAGCCTGAAAGTGTTTTGTAAATGGGAAAGACCTGCACAGGTATACATTATGCTTTGCTGAAACTGTTGGCTTTTCATTATAACCCAGAGACAAGGAGCCAGCAGTACCTCCTTGGGAAAATTAAGACCAGAAACTTGGCTAAGGCTACACACAGCTGGAGAACTCTGGTCTGACTCTAGCTCCTAAGCTTAAGCAAGCTTGGGGGGAGGGGGTGGGCGCTGTGGAGGAAGCCCTAAATGGGAGCAGACTGCAACCAGGCTGCAGTGCCTGGGGTTCTGGTGCACAGCCTATATGGGGACAATCCCTGAGTTTCCTGAGGCCCCAGCAGGCCTGGCCGAGCAGCAGAAGGAGGTGGTATTGCAGGCCTCCGTCTCCCCGTACCATCTATTCAGAGACACAGCTGAGGTCACAGTCTTCCGGGAGAGTCTGCTGAGCTGGTACGACCAAGAGAAGCGGGACCTACCCTGGAGAAGGCTGGTAGGCAGGCGATGGACAGGCACTGTGGGGTGGGAGGCTGGCACGCAGCTGCTTCCACACTAAATCCCCATCTGGAATTGTATTGGCAGGCAGAGAGTGAGGTGGACCTGGACAGGCGGGCATATGCTGGTGAGTACTTCTCCTGAGAGCAGGGCTGCTTTACCTGGACACCCTCAGGTCTGAGGTCTAGAAGCTGTGGGCTAGGAGCAGGGCAGGTCAGCAGTGCCCTCACGCCAACTCCTCTCCCCTAGTGTGGGTCTCAGAGGTCATGCTGCAGCAGACCCAGGTTGCCACGGTGATCAACTATTATACCCGATGGATGCAGGTGACTTCAGGGAAGGAAGGGGAGGGTCATGGGCCGGACCCCAGATGAGAGCCTATCCTTTGGGATGGGGGTAATGAAGGCTTCCTTCACTTCCCTCACCCTTGACCTCATCTCTTTTTGCATGCCTTCGGGCTGTAGAAGTGGCCAACCCTGCAGGACCTGGCCAGTGCCTCCCTGGAGGTGAGAGCCACCCTACGGTAGGGGGAATGGGGACAACGAAGGACTGACCACTGATCTCTCAGACCTCTGACTCTACCCACAGGAGGTGAACCAGCTCTGGGCTGGCCTAGGCTACTACTCTCGAGGCCGGCGGCTGCAGGAGGGAGCCCGGAAGGTAAGGGGGTGGCAGAGAGGGTGGGGCCCTGGGGCCTCCAGTATCTCATAACCTTGAACCTTCCCACCCTAATCAGGTGGTAGAGGAGCTAGGGGGCCACGTGCCACGTACAGCAGAGACTCTGCAGCGGCTCCTGCCTGGTGTGGGGCGGTACACAGCCGGAGCCATTGCTTCCATTGCCTTTGGCCAGGTAAGTTCATAGCCCACCCCCTCTTTGTGCATACCTGCCTTCCTTCTTCCCAGACCAGGCTGACTCCTGGACTTCTCTGTGCCAGGCAGTCGGTGTGGTGGATGGAAATGTAGTACGGGTGCTCTGCCGTGTCCGAGCCATTGGTGCTGATCCCAGCAGCACCTTTGTCTCCCAGCAGCTCTGGTAGGCTATTAGGATAATGAGGGAGGTTGGGAAGGGTGTCTTCAAAGGGTCTTTGGCTCACAGCAATGTTGCCTTCTTGTAGGAGTCTAGCCCAGCAGCTAGTAGACCCAACCCGGCCAGGGGACTTTAACCAAGCAGCCATGGAGCTGGGGGCCACAGTGTGCACCCCGCAGCACCCACTCTGCAGCCAGTGCCCTGTGCAGAGCCTGTGCCGGGCACGCCAGAAAGTGAGCCATCTGGGGAAGGGGTAGTCAGGGGTCCTAGGGAGTGACCCCTGCCCCATGACATCCTGCTTTGTGCCCCTCAGGTGGAGCGGGAGCAGCTCTCAGCCTCACAGAGCTTGCCAGGCAGTGCTGATGTGGAGGAGTGTGGTGAGTGCCAGCCCCAGCCCCAGCCCCAGCCCCAGCCCCAGCCCCAGCCCTTCCCTGCACTGTCAAGAAGCTGCCTGTAGAAGCCTCACTCCAGTTCATGCTACAAACTGAGTACAGTTTGCACAGCTGTACTCAGCACAGCTGGGCCAAGGCCTGCTCTCTGTGCTTGGCACCTAAGTCCACCTGGCCTGAGTGGGGCTCGGGGATCTCTGTTCCCAGCTCCCAACACTGGACAGTGCCAGCTCTGCGCGCCTCCCTCAGAGCCCTGGGACCAGAGCCTGGGAGTGGCCAACTTTCCCAGAAAGGCCAGCCGCAAGCCCCCCAGGGAGGAGTGCTCTGCCACTTGTGTTCTGGAGCAGCCCAGGGCCCTTGGGGGTGCCCGAATTCTGCTGGTGCAGAGGCCCAACTCAGGTACCTGGATCCCAGGAGTGGTGGGCAGTGGCATGAGCAAGAAGGGAGAAATGGAAGAGTCAGCAGCTAAGACCTAAACCACACCTGGCTGTCCTCCTGCTCAGGTCTGCTGGCAGGACTGTGGGAGTTCCCATCTGTGACCACGGAGCCCTCAGGGCAGCATCAGCGCAGGGCCTTGCTGCAGGAACTGCAGAATTGGGCCGGGCCCCTCCCGGCCACCCGCCTCCAGCACCTTGGGCAGGTGAGTGAGCAGTGGAGGGGCCAGGAATGATGGCTTTTGTGGCCACATCCACAGGCCTGTTTCAGCCCCTTGGCCCTCCCCCTAGGTGGTCCACACCTTCTCTCACATCAAGCTGACATATCAAGTATACGGTCTGGCCCTGGAAGGGCAGACCCCGGTGACTGTCGCACCACCTGGCGCTCGCTGGCTGACCCGGGAGGAGTTTCACACCGCAGCTGTCTCTACCGCCATGAAAAAGGCACTACCTTTGTTGTTTTCATTGTACTTTTTTGTGTTACCTACACGTTCTACTTGAACCTATTACTACGTAAACAGGAAAAAAGAAAGGCATATTTTAAGCAAAAGTGCTGGGGCGTGAAATTGAGGACAGAACACGGGTCTGGCTCTCTGGGGGAAGATGCCAGCCCTGCACTTTCCCCCTCTCTTCTTGGTAGGTGTTCCGCGTGTATGAGGGCCAACAGCCGGGGACCTGCAAGGTGAGTCTCTTGGCCCTCACCCTGCCATCTCTCTCCAGGCCCGGATCCATGGGTTTTCAGTGAGTTAAATGACACATGTTTGGGTGAACCTTCTCCACTCAAGGCCTCAACAGGGGGAGAGGAATAGTTCTTCACCTGAAGAGCTTACAGTCTGGGGTCCAGGGTGCAGAGGGGACAAGAGCAAATGATACAGAATAGTGTCACAAGTGTGTGAAACGTTTGTGCTAGGTTTTGTCGGATATGAGCTAGAAAGTTGTCAGTTCTCTCTGGGAAGCAAGGATCAGGAAAGGCTGCTGGGAAGAAGTGGCTGGTAATCTGGGCCCTAGAAATGAATCATTATTTCCAGGTTTGGGAGAGGATCAGCAGGAAGGATGTTCTTTCCAGGCCCAAGAATAATGTGAGCACAGGTGGGCACGGTGCAGTTTGCAGTGCTCAAGGAGCTGTGAACCTTTGGTTTAGCTGGAGCGCCCAGCAGGGCCTACCCAGGCCAGACAGTGCTGTGAACACCAGGCCACTGAAGCATTTTAGGTGGAGAGAGGAGACAGATTTGCATCTTAGGAAGATTACCTTGGGCTGCCTTTTAGAGTTGTTGGAAGAGGTAGTTACTGGAGACAGGCTGGAAGCTTTACAACATTCAGGCTAGAACATGAGCTAGATCCATGGGGTGGGGGTAGGGATGGAAGGAGAGGATTCTCTGCTGCCCCCTCAGTGCCTGCTTCTCTTGGCTTCTGCACAGGGTTCCAAAAGATCCACTCTGTCCAGCCAGAAAAAGCTGAGCCCAGGCCAGCAGGTCCTGGATAGTTTCTTTCAGCCCCACATCCCCAATGATACAAACCTCAACAGTGCGGCCCAGTGACGCCTCTGGAAGCCCCATCCCGCTGAGAATTTGTTTAATAAAGTGCTTATTTTTGTAGTTGTTTTGGAGACTTTCCATCCTCTCCCTAGCACCCTCATAGGGAGCCCAAAAGTCCTACTTAGTCCTGACTTCCACTGGCTGAGCTCCCAGCCAGCCCGGGGCAGCTGGAGGGGGGTGTTCTGTCCAAAGTGATCTGTCCTCTCCCAGCCCCCGGGAGAGGGAGAAGGCAGCTGCAAGGAGCCCCTGCCAGTGGCTGACACCTAACACCCGCGGTCCAGGTCCCTGCTCAGCTCTGATTGGAGCAGTGGTATCGCCCTAGAGCAAGTAGGTGGGCTCAGCCCTGACCCGGCCCCTCCTACCTGCAGTGGCTGCTCCCTAGGGAGAGTGGAAGCACAGGGGAGGATTTGTTGTCTTAAATTCCTACCTTAAATACTAAATCATTTATTTAGGGATATATTACATATGCAGTAAAACAATACAGAAAAGCAAAGGGCAATAATCATAAAATTGTGGGTGGGATGGCGGGAAATCGGATCAGAGAAAGACACAAGGAGGCTTCAAAAGTATTGGTTATGTTCTATTCCCTAATCGTGTAATTCCTTTATTTATATCTTCTGTATATATTAAATATAGACTATGTAAAAAGTGTTTCACAGTTTAAAAAAATCCCACCTCTTTGGACCCCAGTGAGAGATTCAACTTCTGGCAGGTACTAAGATAGAGGCCACACCTGGCCCCTAGGGACAAAGTCTTTCACTCCAGGCCCTTAGGTGTTTCTCAGTTCCCGCAGGCCTGGTGCTGGACTCCCCAGGGCTCCAGGAGAGGTGACAGCACCCAGTTCCAGCCCTCAGGCTTCTCAGCCCCTGGCAGCTTGCTCCTGCACCGACTCCCACAGGGCCCGGATGTTGCCCTGGCCAAATCCTGTGGCCCCCTGCCTCTGAATCAGCTCCAGGAAGAAGGTGTCCTCTGCGAAGAGGGACTTGGTGAAGACCTGAAGTAAAAACTTGCCTTTATCGCCATCTAGCAGGATTCCCCGTCGGGCCAGCTGGCTAGGCTCATGCCCCGCAGCTAGGATCTGTCTTTCCTTTCCCGGCTGCAGATAGTAGGCCGAAGGAGGAGTCAGGAGCTGCCCCCCAGCCACGGCCACCCCCTCAGTGGCTTCCAGGATGTGGGGCGTGTACAGCCCTACGTGCTGCAGGCCCGGCCCCCTGTGCCGGGCCAGAAACTGCTCTATCTGGTCCTGTCCGTTGGCGGCCCCTAGCAGGGATTCCGCCAGCAGAAGGGTGGGGACGGCGCTGCCTGGGGGGATTTGCAGGGCGGTAAGCTTCAGCCCCCCGCGTCCAGACCCTGCTGCCACCTCGAGGCCCAGCTCTGGATCCTCACCTGGGCTCAGTGGCAGGTGGCGAAAGCCTAGACAGTCGTGGAACCAGCGCATCAGTGTTGGGGAGCTGCCGGGGGTGCAGGCCAGGGTCAGGTGGTCCACGTGGCTGACCCAGCCCGGGCCGGTTGCGGAGGGTACTGGTCCAAAGCCGGGCAGAAAGGGCCCGCGGAAGGCGGCGCGCTCCAGCAGTGTGAGGCTGAGGTTGCCTGCAGGTGAGCTGACCACGGCGTAGGTGGCCGTGCCCTGCGCATCCCGCACGCTAACAGGGGGCACTGGCACGCTGCAGCCTCGCGCGGACAGCGCCCGGGTGGCGGCGCTCGCGTCCGCCACGTCGAAGCACAGGTTGGCGGCGCTGGGCACGGCATGACGCGGGTCCAAGCCGTACAGCGGCTCCCCGCGCCCCCCGCCCTCGTTCACCAAAAAGACTGCGTCGCCGCTGCGCAGGGCCAGCTGCCGCCAGCCGTCTGCCTCCCGCGCCGCCAAGGGCTGGAAGCCGAAGAGGCGCTGCAGATCCTGGGCGAGGGGCTGCCCCGCGGGCACGTGGAAGGCGATGTGGCACAGACGGCGGGCGGGCGCAGCCATGGCGGTATGGATGGTGACCTCGAGCCGTCCTTCCCCTGAGGCCGCTCACTTGTCCTTCGGGACTCCGAGATTCTCCGTCCCAACGTTGTCGTCGGAAGCTGGAGTCCAGTTTTGCCCGAACGGCGCGTTCCTCGCTGTTTTCAGGGGAGAAGTCACAAACCGACCCGTTGGGGGCTCGCAGTTCTCCCCGCCACGCCAGCTCTGGAGCTGGAGCTGGAGCTGCCCCGGGGCCACCGGGTCTGCGCCGCAGGTGGTGAAAACCACGTGGAGCCAATGCCGTGGCGGAGCTGGAGATAGTGGGCGGAGCCACTGACCGCGCCTGACGTTCCCCGCCTCCCGCCCAGATCCTGTCGCCAAGGATACAGCGAGACGCAGGGCTGCTCCTTCCCAGAGCCTCTGGCTGGGTCATACCCTCGGGCACTGAGCCTCACTTCCCCGGCCCCCAGAGATCACCATAGCTACCTTCACTTGGTGCCAGGCGCTGGGCTCTCGCTTATCACCCAGCCTTGCAGCAAAGGGAATCACCCCCAGTTGGGGGAGGAGCCCAAATTCTCCCCCTACAAGCACGGAATTTCTTAGCAATTTCATGTTTTAACTTAAAATTCTGGAGAATTTTGCTTTCAAGTCCTAATGTTCCCTTAAAGCTTTAAAAAATATTAAAATGTTTTAAGTTACAGATTTTCATTCCCTCCCCAAAATAGTCCAGAGAAATTGATGTTATAGGAAGATAGGCCGTCTATGTTTATGGTTCCCACACGTCTCTCCTTTCTCTCTGGCAGTCTCTCAACTACACCTGTCTTTCTTCAATCCCACTTCTCTCTCAACATCTTTTACCCCTTTGACCCAAACAAGATTTGGAGGAAAAACCGGTGGCTCAGGACCTGAAAGAAACAACTGCAACGGTGTCCTTTGTCCCCCTTCCGACCCTAGTAGGAGTAGAACTCAAGCCCTCCTTGCTCTTTGCAGCTTCCTGACTGGGTATTGGGCCAGAGGAGCTTTCTGGGGGTATTTCTGACCTTGAGACCCAGAATTGTGTGAGATCACTGGATTGAGGAAATGAGGAGTCTTCTGGGTCTTCAGCTGGTGGCTCTCAAAGGGCTTGGGAAGGGCTTTCCAAGAAGGGCAAAGGGCATAAGCAAAAGGGCAGTGAGGAATGTGAACCAAAGCCTCAGAGGAGCAGTGGAGCATGAGGTGGGGTAGGCATTTGGGGTGGATGCCATGGTCCAAAGCATTGCAAAAGAGATTCATTTGTCAGGCAGCCTGATGTGATGACTTACAGTTGAGTTTCATTGGCAAGAGGGAGAAGGATATGATGGGTTTAGAAAAAGAGGTCTGGCTGGGTGTTCCGGCCTGCAGCCCGGGGGCAGTACCCAAAAGCTGGTCAGTGATGGTGAAGGGCAGTTGGTGCTACTCTGCAGACCAGTGAATTTGAGAACATGGGTTCCAAAAGCCAGACAGATCTGGGTTTGAAATCCACCTCCAACAGTTACTAGCTGTATGACTGGTGGCCAAGTTACATTAAACTTCTCTGAGCCTCAGTTTCCTCATCTGTAAAAATGGGAATAATAATAGTGCTTCATAGGGTTGTTGTGATTAAATGAGATAATACATGATGCAGCCTGGCAAGGAGTCTAGGTTTTAGCCTGTGAACCTGGGCCTGGCTGTGTGGGGTCAGAGCATACAAAAGCGGCCGGGGGTGGGGGGGTAGGGTCGGTGAGGGGGTCACAAGAAGAGGAGCTGCAGTAGGACCTGAATAACAGGCACTGTAGGACTACTCCTCCGTAAGCCAGAGCACTGGGAAGGCACTGGGAAGGCCCTGGCTTTGGTGGTGGATTCTGGGGGAAGAGGCCCTGGGAATAGCGCTCTGTGAGAGCTGGGGCGGAATACGCTATCCTGCCCCAGCTATCATGGTCAGGGCCCCAAGATAGAACAGGCTGTCAGAGTCAGGGCACCAAGTGAGCAGCTATTGCCTCCAGGCCTTTGGTCCAGTGGAAGGAGTTTCCAGTTGAGGACCCTAGGTATGGACAGAGGGAGCAGAAACAGGATGCCTGACCCATCACTTCTCACCTGCTCCTGACGGGGAGCATGGGTTTCTGGAGGCTAAGTGGGGGCTCCCTGAAAGAAAAGGGTGATCTTGGCTGGACTGCAAGGGCACGTTGCCCTGCAAGGGCAATGTGCTTGACCTTGACCCAGGGCACAGACTGGGCTCTAAAGAGGCCAGCTGAGGGTAGCGGTGGTCATGGATGTTGGTCTCCCTCTGGGCCACACTTCACTTACTGCAGCCCTGCTGGCGTCTGGGCCGTGACCAACGTAGGACCCCTTGTCCCCTTTGGGTCAGGACCCTGAGGAACTTTCAAAAGATGGATCCTCTGAGCCTGGTGGAGATTGCCCTCCTGCCGGTGCTACAGATGCAGAGGTTGGGGGCACAGGTTGAGACCCCAGGCGAACTGGATGACGCCACTGAGGGCCGATGCGAGGCAGTGGCGCTGCTGGATGCCTCCTGCCGCATCTGCCTTCTACAGTGGCCAGGTCAGCAGAGGTGGAGGCGGGGGCTGTGGAGGGCCGAGGACCCGAACTTGTGGAACCACATCCCTCCTGCAGATCTCCGCCTAGGTCCAGCGGCTAGTGGAGGCGCACTGCCCCTCGTCCGAATTCCTGACTCCAGCCCCTGCCCTCTCTTCCGTCTCCTAGCCGGCAAAGGATGCCGCTGGAACTCGCACCCTCCTGGCTCCGCCCCTCCCCAGCTCCCTCCCCTTTCCCTTCTTGCGGAGGTGACCCGGAAGCTCCCTCCTTTCTGACCCCGCCCCCTGCCAGAGCTCTTTCCCTTTCTCTTCTCCCGGAGGTGACTCCCCCAGGGAGCTCCTGCCCTTTGGACCTGCCCCTGCCCATGACTCAGTCCCTGTGTCTGCTTGTGGAGGGCTTGACATTTTACAAGGGGTGGCTCAGAAGATCTTACAGAGAAAGTGACTTTTATTATTTTTTATTGTGGTAGAATATATATAACAATATTTACCATGTTAACCATTTTTTTTTTTTTTGGTGAGGAATATCAGCCCTGCGCTAACATCTGGCAATCCTCATTTTTTGCTGAGGAAGACTGGCCCCGGGCTAAGCTCCGTGCCCATCTTCCTCCACTTTTTAAACGGGACGCCGCCACAGCACGGCTTGCGAAGCAGTGCCTCCGTGGGCACCCAAGATCTGAACTGGCGAACCCCTAGCCACCGCAGCAGGGCGTGCGTGTGCTTAACCGCTTGCGCCACTGGGTCGGCCCGCCTTCTGCCATGTTAACCATGTTTAATGTACACCCCAGTGGTATTAAGTACATTCACGTTGTTATGCAACCATCACCATCATCCATCTATAGAACTCTTTTCATCTTGCCCAACTGAAACTCTGTACTGGTTAAATTATAATCCCCCACTCTCCCCTCCCCTCTGCCCCTGGCAACCACTATTCTACTTTCTGTCTCTGATTTTGGCTTCTCCAGGTGTCACTGACTAATTGCCCCAAGGAACTCAAGGGTGGGTTCAGAGGCATTTGAGTATTTTTCCAAATTGTTTTTTTTCCTTTTTGTGGAGATGCAACCACCAACTACCCTGAACCAGAACAAGCCTCACTGCAAGAGCTACACCCATGACCTTTGCCTTATTTTTGTTTGTTTTTTTGTGAGGAAGATCAGCCCTGAGCTAACATCAGATACCAATGCTCCTTTTTTTTTTTTTTTTTTGCTGAGGAAGATTGGCCCTGAGCTAACATCCATGCCCATCTTCCTCTACTTTATATGGGACACTGCCACAACATGGCTTGACAAGCGGTGCATCAGTGCATGCCCAGGATCTGAACCCTTGAACCCTGGGCCGCTGAAGCGGAGCGCATGCACTTAACCGCTTGCGCCACCGGGCCAGCCCTGTTTGCCTTATTTTTAATGCTAAGATCTCTCTAGGAGGAGCTTAGGCCTTATTACCGTAACCTGCAGTGTATGTGGAAGCGTGTTTTCTTACTGAGCCTGTGCAGGCAAATATCCACCTCTCCCTTTTGAATATTCATTCCCCAACTGAAATCAAAAGTCTCCGCTTCCTTTTGTTCCGGGAGAACCATGACTTTGGAAATGACTCTGCACGGTCTCCTATTGGCTGCAAATATACCTTACTTTGTGTGACAACTACTTCTGGCAGAGAGTCTGATTTAACTTGCCAGGAGGCGAGCCCACTTTGGTTTCAGTAACATAGGTACCTCATGTAAGTGGAATCATGCAGCATTTGTCTTTTTGTGACTAGCTTATCTCACTTAGCGTAATGCCTTCACGGTCCATCTATGTTGTAGCATATGTCAGAATTTCAAGAAAGTTGATACCGGCTCAACACAAAGTTAGCGTAAGGGAAGCCGTCTTATAGAAGAAAGCCATGTTGGAACTATGAATACCCCTGACTCACCAGCCCCTTTGCCTAGATCAGTAAGGGTCTTTCTCTGGGGGATTCACAGGCTGTGTAGATTTTACGGGCCCTCCCAGCTGCGATAAGATGATAACTTTGTTCTGTTGAGTTCTCTAGGAATGTGGTGGCCTCTGGACAGAGATTCTGTGCTGATATCCATGACAACTGAAAGATCTGATGTGGCAACTCCCAATCTGCAACACCAACGGGTTCAACATTTCCTAACTTCCTCCACTATAACCCGCTGGCCTATATAACTGCTTTAAGATTCTGTGCCCCCCTTAAGATGGTTCTCTTGGACATTAGTCAGCCATCTTCCCCCTTGCTAGCAAGCTGTAATAAGAAGTCCTTCCTCTCCTACCTCCTTGCCTCTTGACTATTGGCATGTCTTGTGGCGGACAGACAACCCCCCCCCCCCCCCCGCCCTTGGGCAGTAACAAGGTGACTTTTGAGTTAATTCCTGAAGGAAGTGAGGGAGCAAGAGGAAAAAGTGTAAAGGCCCTGAGGCAAGAATGGGGCTGGTGTGTCAGATCAGAAGACCAGTGCAGCTGGAAGAAGATAGGGAGGGGGAGAGTAGTAGCCATAGGC